CAGATAACAAGTGCAATAAAACGATTTTCCCAGCGCACTGAAATACAAATGCTGCTGTAGAGCTATGCTGTGCCTATCAGTCTTAAGCAGGGTGCAAATTATACAGTGACAACAGGGGGGGTTAACTTTTTTTCCAGGTCCAAAAGAAACCCAGTACAGCACAGGCGCGGGCTTCAGTGAACTAAAATATTACAATGCTTACAATATCCTTGTTTATTTAACTAATGTCATCAGTCTGTAGATGATGAACTTACACCAGTTCATGGGTTCCCCATACCACACAACAACATTTGTAGTCAGAGGTCACCAAGTATTATAGAGCAAAACTTCCAGCAAGTCAGACATACAACAGCAGACCATCATGAACGCTCAAAACAAACCCACACAATGTTGATACAGAATTAAAGACACCTAAAATACAGTCTGCATGATTATCTCTAATACCTCGTTTAAAGTTTCAACTTACTCTTTTTTAGCAAATATCTCCTTTCCTCTTGCTCATATTGACTGTGAATGATGTAATACTGTTGTTGGGGAATTGGGAATTTTTGGGAATTCCAGAGTTAAAACAAATGCCATGTTTATTGTGAAAGGACACAAAAGACTTCGTATGAAATAATAAACTCTATATTGATGTAAAAACGTATCTCTACAGTAACTAATCCCCAATTTCACTGCTCACACCTAAGCACCAGGGGTAGCTGACAATTAGCCTAAATAACATTAAATTACATAGTTATAATGAAATGATAGGGTGGGCTCACAGCTAGCTAACATCAGATAACTAATTTTAAGTAAATGAAATGCTAATTACCAATGTCTGAAGGTAGGAAAGTTAAGTGTATTAAAGCAGCTAGATAGTTAACTACTGACATTAACCTGCTGCGTCTCCATTAGCATATGATGCACCGGACTGAGCAGCTGCGTTGCGACTGATGCAGACAGACAAGACGTTCTACTAGCGTCAATGTTAGGAAATGGTACGGTCCATTTTAGGGGTGTCTGAAATACTATTTCAAGATTCTTGAATATAAGGCATGAGTATGGGAAATATTTTGTAATATTTACAAATACAGGTAAGAAATCCCCCCCCTAAACTGTTGGTTTTGCCTCTTTTGGCGGGGTCCAAGCCTTAACTAGGGGGGTCAGACCCACCCAATCCTACCCGTAATTCGAACCATGGTCTTGATGAAAACAGTAAATGCAGGCATATGCGATGCATCTTATTTCCAACAACATGGCATAAGTTGTATTCTCTCAAACTCTTATTGTAACACAATCATTCAAGCTCTTAGTTATACGGCACATTGTTGAAAACATGCATCTTCACTTTCTTGCCAAAAATAAGATGAGAAGATTAACACCTCTCATATTTGTCCTTTCAATATCAAACAAAACACCAGTGTTGGGCAAGTTACTCAGAAATTGTAATATATTACCAGTTACTTATTACAATATAAATAATATTATTACTTTACTTATTACTGGGTGATAAAAGTAATTAGTTACGTTACTATATTACTTTCCAGTGTTTCCCGCAGAATGGAGGTGGGGGAATTCTAATGTTGGACAGGTTTGTGCAGTGGTGTTCACGAGAGAGAGGGAGAGAGAGAGAGAGAGAGAGAAAGAGGGAGTGAGCCAGGAGGTGCTGCAGGAATATATGCTCCTCAATACACTTCTTTAATCAAAAATTATTTTAAATATGCCTGGTAAAAATTTGGAAAATTTGTTGATAATTATCCAAATTATAGGCTAATTATGGGAAACACCCCCAAACAAAGCAGTCTCTCTCGACTTTTTAACTAATATCATATCCATAACAGCAGCAAGAAGTGTGGTTTTTACAAAGCATAGGGATAGCCTAGGTCTAACGTTTCTTTACGCCACCGGCTGAAATAAAAAAGTAAAGCAAGTAAATCATGACTTTTAAACAGCAGTTTTACTGCACATGCAGCCTGTTAATAAGAGCAGTATTCAGTAGTTACAAAACGTGATTTTTAAGCATTAACACCACTCTCTCCCGACGAGTCTGAGCATCAGTAGTAGCAGTGACAGTAGCTGCCAGAGTTTCTTTCTGTAAGTTTCACGTCACTGTGCTGCTTCAGCAGATGCTTCAATAAATCAGGTGTAGAATTGTTCACAGTTGAAAGCATTTTGCTGGTCGCACAGAGTTTACAATAGACAAAAATGTTCTTTGCATCTTAGACTGTGACACAATAATGGCAGTAGCTACTTGGAAAGAACGTCTCTGTCCCTTGTTCACCATTCTTCCTTTAGTTTTGGCTATCAGCGGACATGAACAACAAAGTCCGGTCCTGCTGAGCTGTCACACAGTCGTGGATTTACGTCAAGGATGGTGTGTTCAGTGACGAATAACGCAGCGTTACTTGCCTTAGTAGCTAGTAATAATAGCCTATTACCGTTTTAGAAAAGTAATTAGTTACACTACTTAGTTACTGGGAAAAGTGGCGGAATGGATAAGACTATGCCTTTGGTGTGAGAGACCTGGGTTCAATCCCCCACTGTGACCCTGAACAAGACACTTAACCAGAGGCGTGTGACCTCTGACATGTATAGCAATTGTAAGTTGCTTTGGATAAAAGCGTCAGCTAAATGAATAAATGTAATGTTAGCTTATAATATAGAAACAATAATAGAAATTGTTAGCCTGGCTCTGTCCAAAGGTACAGACTAGCCGACTAGCAAGCTCACATCTGACATGTTGTATCTCATTATATCCTGAGAGGAAAGTAGCAGGAAGTTACTGCAACTAACCAATTAAAGTCCAACTGAAGTCATATTTAGTCATCCCTTTTTGTACAAAAAAATAACATTTAAGCTTTTAGGGAAATATAAGAAATGCTCCTTTTTGTCTTAACCAGTTGGAGGGGCGTGTCAGTATTTGTATTTGATTGACAGCAGCTGTGCTAACTGCTGAGTGTTACTAAGAGAACGAGAAAAAAGGTAAACAAACTTGGGTAGCCTACATGTCGGACAGCATTGTTGTTTGTGGTTTTGAAGATTAAGGACCACACCAGAATCTAACCAGACCTAAGTGACGTTTGTAGGTACATTTAGCTGCTGTTTACTATGCTGCAGCTGAGCAGCTTATTAGCTATCTAGCCTGCAAACTGATGTCAGCAGTGCACGTTTCCTCTGTGAATGTTTGTCTGGACACTTGTCAAGTTGTCTCAGTCTGCTCCGATAGAAGGCTGACATTACTGCTTATGTAAGATTTGATTGGCTGTATCGAAATTAGGTTAGGTGTAATACCAAACTAGGGCGTATCATCATAAAAGCAAAAAATATAAAATATACATTTCTCGCTTTTGGTTTCTGGTGTTTTCTCAAAGGTGAACAAAGTGATTTACAGGGGAGATATGCATGCTGTAGTAGACAAAAAAAAAGATATTTCATTTCACTTTAATAACCGCTTGCTCAGTTTTGTATGGCTCAAGAAATTACGGGTTAGTTACCTGGTAAGCGCATTTTGTTACATTGGCACAGAACCAAGCTACCTTTTTCGTACATTTCCAGTCTTTATGCTAAGCTAACCCTCTCCTGGCCATAGCTTTGTATTTATCCGACAAATAAAAGAGTGGTATCAAACTCATCTAACTCTTGGTAGGATAGGAGGACAAATAAGCATACAAGAAATGCAGCTCAGAGTGCTTTACACAAATGTAAAAGGTAAAAATATTGGTCTATATACAGCAAATTTAAAGCAGATAAACCTTTTGCGCTTTCAGTTAAGCAAGCATTAGTTCACTGTTAAGACTCAAATATTGTAAAGAAAATTCTAAATTCTTGGATTCCACAAAGTATTTTAAGAATGTGCATTGCTATGTGCAGGTCTTTAAACATAGATTTAGATAAAAGTCCATTTGTTTTCACATTATGTATATTGTATTTAGTTTAGTTTTCAGTGGAAATTATGGCCTGGAGTCATCTCCCCACTGTGTCAAAGGGTACGGCACTGTCAGAGGAAGACTAAGGTAAGAAGAACAGGGTGCCAGGAAAAAGGGGCGTGATTGCATCTGTAAATAGTGGGGCTATTTTTGGGCTTACCACAGTCGTACAGGGGAGCACCGCCTAGGCCTGCCTTCTGTCACTATGGGGATGGGCGCTTCATAACTTTGCTGGATGGAAAAAGTCTGGAGGACTGGCAGGTGGTACACAGGAGCGTGGCACAGCTCCCATGGCGAGGAGCTGTTTCACTCATAACTAGCCACCACTAACAATACTCACCGGAAAACACACAGGCCTCTGCTTGTACTTGGCATATCAGCAGCTTGTTGCATTTTTATTCTGCTTAGTACAGTTTAGGTTTGTGTGTATTTCAGATTGAAACAAAAGTACACAACACCAAATACCATCTATTGATTGATAGATTAAATGCACTCTTTGCTGGCAAGCACATAGGAAAAATTGTAAGAAGTAAAACCCACACCAAAACACCAGTAAGTACAACTACATTTTGTAGCAATTAGAATTATAATGAAGTAAAACTAAACAAAGGATATCAGTAATTGCATGTAAAAGTCCGTTCAAAAATCAGCATGATACATGATATTGTATATAAAAAAAGTGAGGGAAAGAAATATACTTTTCCCTACTCTTGTCAGTGTCCACTGTCTCCATTTCAGGTTTTATTAGGGATATAGGTCCAGGTTGGAACAGTCTTGAGTTTTACTAAGGTCATGCTATATAACACAAGAAAATCACTCATCCAAGTTAATGTAAAGGCCTTACAACTAAAGCACAGCCATATGGGTCATGCATGTTATAGTCAAATAATACTTTAAGTATAAATTTAGGAAAAAGGGGAGAGAAACCTTTACCAACTGATATATATATATATATATATATATATATATATATATATATATATATATTAGTTTTAGTTTAAAAAGGTAATATGAAAAGGCTCACAGAATCAGTCCTGACACATGAATATAAAAACATAAAAACAAAATAATTGAGAACTTTTGTTATGTATGGTCACCATTATGCCATTTATTAATTCATTGTTGAGAACACATTAAATGCACTTTGAACACATTTCATTTTTCATAAATATTTCATATTAAAGAGAAATATGTTTCACCTTGTGCCTACACAGAAAAGCATTATAGAGTTGCAATGACCTTATAGCCAAGAAAGAGAGAGTAAGGCACAAAATAGAAACCTTATTCATAGTCATGCTATTATATTTCCAAAAATGTATTAGGAAGCTATATTGTAAGCTACTGTCAGCTAAATGAACCCCAACGTTAGTACGATGTGCATGCTCCAAAAGATAGATCATGTGGAAAGATGGCTGCTGTGTGGAAGAAGAGTCAATGTTGGTACGTTTATGACGCGACAGTGGAAATCAATCTACATTATTTGGTCTGGAAGAAAGAAAACCTGCTCTGTTTCTACAGTAAAGTGCATAATGTTTTTTTTTTTGTACGGGGAGCTGCTCTACGCTAAAGTCTCCGACAGAAAAAGGAAACTTGGACAATAATTTCACCAAAGATAAAATCCTTTGGTTTACTCAGATCAATTATTGCCAGCAGTAAGTAACAGTCCTGCCAACTCCTCAGTGGAATCACCCAAATGACGAGTAAAGCTGAGCCTGTGGCATACTTAGATTATCCCTGTGCCTATTTACATGCAAACCTGCAGTGCAAGAAGTAACAAACAAATATATATTGTCCAGGAGTATTCTTTTTCAGATACAGCAGGTAAGCATACCTTTGTTCAACTGCCTTATAGCTGGGGGAGAAGAAAACTCTGATACCTGCCTTTATAATCCCCCGCAACCAGGAATGGATGTTATAGGATATGTACTATATATTTCTCTGATTGTCTGTGCATCATTACGTCATGGTTTGGGTGGGAGGACTGGAAGACCGGGACAGGATGATAAAAAAAAATAGGCACTAAGGTGAAAAGGATAATGTAGGATATTAGAAATGGTACAAATCATATCAGGGGAAGACAAATGGGGAAAAAAGGGAAAGCTAAATAGCAAACTGCATGATATAAGGATAAGGCATACAGAAGTACATTTTCAAATACATGTTTATACAAAAGAATATCATACAATAGCATTCAGTATAAATGAACAATTAGATAATAATGAGGAAGCAAGAAAAAATACAATTCTAATCTATTCACATACTCCCTACATTTTTCCAGCCTTTTATTCTGTTTCCCTGTAAACAAATCATTGAAATGATACAAAAATGTCATATAAAAACTTCCACTTTGGGTTAGAATAAACCATTTGCATTTGTGTGACTTCTGCTGTTGTTTACTGTCAATATCACTGCTGTAAGGCACCAATTCGGTTTTTGCGGACTGACGGCACAAACAAATGAACCAACGTGAGGAAGCATGACACTTACAGTCCCATTAGCTTGTCCATGCATTAACATACAGATCACACTCGAAATTAAGATTATAATTTAGTCTCATTGAGCTGTTTGGTCCACTAAAGAACATCTGCTGTGAATTAAGGCAAGTGTAGTCGTCTTTGCCCCTGATATCACTTCCCTTTTTGTAAATATAACATTCATCTGTTTATTCAAATGGAGCTTGCCAGTGATTGTCAATATAAGTCTGCAGCGAGTCTTTGAGAGAGGAGGAGCTGATGGTAACGATAGTTAAGCGGGAGATCCTGGTCAAAACTTTATTCTTCATCATCTGGATCTCTCTCTTTGTTTTTGTCCTCTTTTTGTTGATGACATTGCTTTCAGCGTGTGTGTGTGCTGCTGCAGAAGATTTCGGGACGTCTATGCGTGAGTGTTCACTGAAATGCTGGAGAGGTCGTTCCTGATGATCTCATTAACTGTGGAAAGAAATAAGAGGTTGCAAATTGTTACTAGTCACGCTGAATAGCAATTCACATCATTCTAACACTTATATTTAAAGTAGAGAGGTGGCCTAGAAGTTACAGAGGTGAGGTTTGTGATAGGATGGTTGTCTTGGCCAAGGCTGGATTTCCAACCAGGCAAAGTGAGGAACTGCCCCAGGGAGTTTGAAAGAAGTGAGCATTGGCCAGACAGAGACGGTCTAATGCTGCACTCCATCTACCTCAGAATTTGGAGCTGGGAATGACGTCACACCCTACATGACCGGGTACAACAACAGATTTAAGTCGGAAAACCAAGATGGTTTAGTGGAAGACGCTATCTTGTATTATGGGAAGTGTTAGGTACTAGAGACTAAACATCAGGAAATATTGGTCTCTATGGCTTTAATTGATCATTTGATCATTCTCTTTTTAATGGTTTATCTATTCATAGAAGTAAAACACCAAATAAAAGTGGGAGTGGGAGGTACGGGGGCATTAATAGGAGCCCAGCAGTTCATTCTTGACCCAGGCCCCCATAGCAGTAAAATCCGTGCCATGATCCCTGACAATGCAGGTGAAACAAAAGCAATTAGTACAAATGTGTGTATCTAAGGCCTCTGTTTGACCACAGGATAAATATGAGTCATGTTTAGTTTATAAGTTTAAAATGTTTCTTCCATCCAGTTACATCACATGTGCCATTTGCTTTTCCTTAAAGAAAACACTTGAAACTTTGACTGAAGACGATGTAACCCTTTAGTGCTTTTATCTTGTGATAAATAATGTTACATGGGGCAATACTGCACTGAATATTTGGCATAGATGTGGACAAGTTGAAAAATACTGGATATCAGTAGCTGCAATCCAAACATATCATTGTTGTTACCAGCCTTTAAAACTCATATCAGCCCCATACACATCTCTGTTTTTAAGCAGTCTTGTCTTTCCTGTACTACTTCCTGTGCCCGCGCCTTTCCCACAGTCGGACAGACACAGATCTGTCCCCTGCCTTTATCTGCTTTATGTTCTTTGGCAAAACAGAGGGAAGTGACCATGAAGATGGCGAGGACCTTGAGCCCTGTGGCTTAACGCAAACAAGAAGCTCTGGAGTCATAGAGCTTGCCGTGATAAAGCGGGCTGATGCAGACAGAGAGAGAGCGAGAGAGTCTGGTGAAATCACCATCCGCAGTTAGGAGGCGAGACAGGAAGTCCACCCACTCTGAGGCCCAAAGTAGGCCTGCAGTCTGTTATCACTTGATACTGTTTGGTGAATGGTGAAGCATCTGCACTGATCAAGACAAAAACATCACTAAATAAAAACACGATGTAGTCCTTTTAATACCCAAACATTTCAATGCTGTGAATTGTTATTGGTACAATGGAATATTGAATGGCTACGGTGCTGATGTCAGCTGTACTAATCTTTGGTAAATGAAGAGCAGAAACTCTGCAGCAATATCAACACATAATTCCAAGGATGGAAACAAAAATAAATAAATAATGTGCCACACACCAATAGTGTCATGCCTAGCTTTCTAAAATGCAGCCAAACACCCACCTATTTACCACACACACACACACACACACAGGTTGGTTAGGACTCACCTCTCTAAACAGGAGGAACTCCCATTGGAAAAACCCCACCTGTGCCAACAATGCTGGCTGTTTTCAATGCTGTTCCACTCCAGCCTAAACAGGCATTTACACGCTGAGGTTATTTTTAGCTTTGCCATCGCAAGACATAAAGGAAGTGCAGGCACATGTAACAATTAAATGATCAAATTTTAATGTCTCCGCTCTTCTCTGTTAGCCAAGGTGAGAAAACAGCTCCAGGTTAATCTGAAGAGGGAAAGGGAAAACCCAACAGCTTGGCAGCAAAAAGCCACAAATTTACCCTTTATTTTTCTCACAGAGAAAGCAGTTGCCTCCTTTCTTTTTTTCAGTCACTGTAAAAAATAGTGACGTCTCCTCCGCCCACATATTAACTGCAGTTTTATTTTGCTGTGCTTTATCAACTAATATTTTCCATTGGCTTGAACGATGATGTTCCATTCTGAAGAAACAAGTGATAAAGAGAGAGGAAAGGTAAAACACTAGCCCCTGTACAATGTGACAATCTCAGAAACAGGATGTGGCCAACTGTTACACCACAAGACAACACCAAGCTGCTATTTATAGCTGTTTAATGGGTTAGCTCTTGTCACTAGTTGCAACAACTTCTGGGAACTTCAGAAATTTTAAAAGAACAGTTGATGAAATCTGAATGACTGAGAGATAAACAGATGCACAGGTAATGACGGTGAATGTGCACATGCTATATTTTAAACTCCACAAATTGGTTTTGACAACAGTTCTTCAGATGCATTTAGTTTGATTTACTTTCTTCATTCAATTTTGTTTAGTTCAAATGTTTTGATTCATTTTTGACAAAAAACTAAACAAAACAAAAAACTGACAAATTAACCTAGGTCCAGGCCTCCTTACAGAAACTGAAGTCTTTTCTCAGTTTAGAATGACATTTAGAATTTTTTGGTATTACATAAACATGTTTTCTAACTGAATTTAGGGGAGAATACTATCTTAGGATATGAATTTAGCTATTACAGGAATGTGCTAATTTCTTTAGTAAGGAATCCTAAGTTCCTAAATTGTCCTAAATTAATAATAATTGCCAACACTGGCAGCACCACTGTTGTTAGGTCTGTATGGTAATTACAATGAAGATGGGGAAGAACATGAACACCTTTATTTTATGATTCAAAGGTTATGATTGAAAGTTGGATTTTCTTTCCTGTAATGAGTCCCCAGGTGTTATTGTTCAGTCAATGCATTATTTTCTGTTTTTCCTTTTAAGTCAAATTCTCCCACATGACATCTCTTTATTTTTTGAGTCGGTACCACCTTCCATGAAGTGACTAGATAACCACAAATATGCAGAATCAGGGAAAGCAGCCACACATGCTGAGGAACATTTAGTTCAGAGTGGAATTTGGCTCCAAAAAATTCAGCCTCTTACATAATATGGACAGGCGAGGTTATAGTACACGATCTCCACTGTAAACTAAGCCTTGTAAAACTAGTTATTATTCACTTTAATGATCTCTATGTACTATTGTAAAAATAATGCTACGTTATGTTACGCAATAATGATGCAAACCAATATGTTTTATTATCAGATATGTACATAAATGAACTCTTCCTGGCCTGGCGTCCCTCTCAACAGCATTGGAAACTTATTTTCTTTTTTTCAGTTGGCCAAGTTAATAATGGAAAGCTGTAACTGGGAGGATCCCACTCATGAATAAACAAAAACAGCGGAAAACTGCACTCCAAATATTCCCCTGCTGAAAAAACAAAATAAAAATGTGCCCTGCTAGTCATAGTTAAACAGAGTGACATCCTTTATTAGCTGTAGTGCCAGTGCAATCGGTAAACCGCAGTCCGGACCTGTCAGGACTTATACTTAGGGCTGGGCGGCTGGGAGATCTATTTCAGGCAGGTGTGAGAGTGACACAGAAATATGACTACTTAACTGCTCCATGCCAACTATGTTGAACAGTTCAATGGACAATTCAGCTTCTTTGTGAAGGCCTACCAGTGTTATTTGGCAGTGGCTTGAAGTTGAACTCCTGTATCCATAGGGTATGACGGCTGCCTGAATGAATGTTGACCTCGCTAAAATAATCTGCAATGGAAAAGGATTTGCTTCTACCTGTTAAAAGAGGTGGTGGAGTACTTCAAGTGCGCATGCTGCTTGTGTAGGGAATGCATAAACAATACAGTACAGGTCAACTTTTCTAAACGGCAAAATTTCAGTTATAAGTAAGTAAGTAACACGCACAGGTGGGAAACAATTTCCTTTTGTGTGACAGGTTGCCTGAGACCAACCATAGCATTTGGCCCAGCAGGCTTTCAGACCAAAAATAGCACAGCTTAAAAAAAAACAAAACACGAGGGGCTGCGTAGGTGTGGACATGTTGCTATAGGTAGTGCTGAGGAGATACAGTCTAAACTAGGAAGTCCAGTTTGAGTAACAGTACCTTGATTTTGAAGGCTTAACAAATGCCAAAACCCTGCACAGCAGTTTACAATACTATGAGCCAGGATTTTACAACTGTGGAAAGTTACCATGGTGACAGTCATTTCAGCCTCTGTCTTGATGATTAGATGGTAAACATTAAAGTTGTAACAGTAGTTCAGCAATAGTTACCCAAGATTGCCCAGACAGTGGTCTCACTGAAATGAATAATGTGGATTTGTTGATACAGTCGGTCTGAACAAGTAAATCTGAGAACGTTTCTGCATTTTAACACCCCATCATGCAAAAATACATTGATTTAGAGGCTTTAAAACCTAAAAATCATTAAACATGCAATAACTTTTTTCAGCAACTTGGGGTAGCAGAAACAAGCAAGCTGAACGAAACACTAGGAGTGTTTGACTTCATGCAACGCATTGCAGCACTGACTTAACGTAATGCATGCTGGTTAGACATTTTGTCTGACTTTTGCCAGCGCTGTAAAAACATCTGACTATGAAGTTGGCTAAAGTTAGCTGCAGTCATCTAGGCACCTGCTGACATAGTATCAATATAACTTGTTAGCAAACAGTTGCATATTAACACATTAATTAAGGAAAATATGAAGCAACATTATCATTCATGACCACCTGGCAAATGTAAGTCCAATATTAACTCTCCTTTTTGCTTTGATTTTGGTCTCCACCAATTTACATTACATTTATACATTTAGCTAATGTTTTTATCCAAAGCGACTTACAATTGCTATACATGTCAGAGGTCGCACCCCACTGGAGCAATGATGGGTTAAGTGTCTCGCTCAGGGACACAGTGGTGGATGGGTCACAGTAGGAATCGAACCCGGGTCTCTCACACCAAAGGCATTGCGCCATCACCGTCCATTCCCACCTTTTTATGAATCACTGCAAAATTGGAAATGTGGGCAGCGATTCTACAAATAATCTCTGTTGTGATA